CATCATATGCGTACATTTTTTTAAAAAAGAAAAATAGTTATCTTAAAATGATAAGGAACACTCCTGAAAAAGATGATAGGTCTAGATGACTCCTAAAATTCATCATGTTCGTTTTCAGTGACACATTGGTTGTACTATGTGGATTTTACAGCAAGTCATCCCCATCTGTCTTGCGCTTCGCACTCGGTTAGTGTCTCATGTGTATTATACCCATCTTAGCCCATTTCATTTCGTTTCATTTATTTTGTCTCAGTAAAATACATAAAAACAACAACCGGTTATAATAGAACATAGTAAAAGTATGAAATATCTGAAACAGGCCTAGACAGGATTTCTAAAAGTGAACCAAATCAGTGTCAAGTAGGTCTCCTAGTGCACTATTGTGAATACACTTTGTTACAATAAACAGGAATGATCATAAATATATAAATCAAGCATTTTAAAAAAATGGAAAAGTTTAATGGAAGTTAGCTCACATTTTTTGTTAACATACTCAAATTCCAGTTGAGATATAAAACTTGTTCTTGCCTTGACAGTGTTTCTGATAATTCTGTTTTTCTGTTTTTGACATTTCAGCAAGCTTCGATGTAAGTCAAAGTGCACCACCAACCAGCCTACAGTCGTTCAATCTCACCCCTTACCAGATACCCTTTCAGGTCAGTCAACTTTTGCCATTGATGCTTTCAAATCTAAAATTGTAATTACTGTTTTTTTCAGCTTGTTGTGAAGGATCCATCAGTGTTTCAAAATCTTGAAGTTAAACATTGCAATTTATTGACAACTTTTTCCAGTTGCACTAATACTGATACTTCATCTTGAATTGCTCATTTTTAAATAAAGAAAACTAATAAATTCAGTAAGATACCAATGAATGGCTAAGTTCAGACATGGAGATAAGCTGGGCTTATGTTAAACCCGACTCAACATTAAACCCGGCTTAATTTTTCCTGGGCGTTCAGACTAGCGGGATTAACCAGACGAGAGAATTTGCATATTCATGAACTGTAACAAGAAAACGAGTTTAGAAATATTGTGCGCGAAACATACACTTGTTCAAAGCACACGTAATTGAAAGTTGATTGGTAATTTTTTTACATGAGGCCAACGTAGCTAAAAAGCTAATTAAAGAATATAATTATGGGAAAAAAAACATATTTTGTCATTTTTTCCGGGTTTCGTGGAAACATGTCACAAAATGTTCATAATTGTTAATGTTGAACATTGATGATTTGCTTATGTATAGGAGGAAGATGAAACATACTTAACATACAAGGTACTGCATTCTGGCAACACCTCCTACATCTACAGCCGCAATGTACTATATACTTGTACAGGTAGGAACATATATTGTAGTGGGCATGTTGTTACGATACTTGCTTTCTAATCCTAGGATTCTGGGAATTTTCTCTTGTCTAAAATAATATCTACACTCCATAAGCCTTGTATTGAGACATAAGTCCCACATTCCATTTATTTAGAGGGCCTTAAATATCAGTCAACATCAATCAGTCAGGATTACATATTAATAAATACCTGTACAGCTCAGGTACAAACATACAAATCCATAAACATCAAATATTTACTAGTATTTATACTGTATATAGAACAAACCTGGAAATAGCAATCAATAAATATAAAAATACACCAAAGAGGAATCTAACCAAAAATTTTGAAAATTATTTACCATTTACCAGGTGTCAAACCTAGAAACTTATAACAAACATGGTATGTCAAAACAATACACCACTAATGCTTTGTAGTGAATCTAAATGTTAATATTTCACTATTTCTAATACCAATCTGTAATTGTACATTAATGATTTATAAGTTTCTTTTTAAATTTCTTTCAAGTATCGTTTCTATGTTAAGACATACATTGTGCTTGACTGTTAAAATTCTTTTATTGTTCTAAAATATAATTTGTGTTTTGTTTCCATAGCAACTGATAATGGTCCTGCATTTGACAAGATAGAGTTGAACCAGCCTGGCGATGGAATCCTTGGGGCAGGTGGGTACACCTCACAATTACAGTAGCTCTAATGATAAAGTATTTCTTCTTTTTGTTCTAAATATTTTTAGCCTATATAAAGATTGTAGGTGTATTAATTCATTTGTGTGAAGTTAAATGTGTTAATACTGAATAAATATTTATCCAGAATATACTGTATGTTCCAGGTCTGGCTGTCATCCTTGGGGTTTGGGTTCAAAGCCCTTTATATTCATGTTACATCCTCATTCCTTTATCACTTCTGATTTATCTAATTCCTTAATAGGATTGAGTGAAACATTGCCAGTCTTCTTCACCAATAATTTTGGTCTTGTTTCTGTGAAGGTCAATCAAATGGAAGCAAGGTAAGTTAATATATAATTTTTTTTTGTAGCAATATAAATGTACATTTTATTTAAAAATACGTAGTTAACAGTTGGTGGTATCCTATGTCATTATTGTGATTATTGTTAATAGCATTGTTACTATTATTGATATGGTTGTTGATGTTTTCCTTTTATTAGTATTATTAATTTGTAATATTACGATTATTAATTATATCAATACAAAACCAGATGAAACTATTCAATCATCTATTATCATTATTATTGTTATTATTAATTTATTGTTGAATTATCATTGTTATTATTGTTGTTACTATAATTATTTGTCATGGTTTATAACTATGTATTTATTTGCTTCAATTTATTAGTTACCTTCAAGATGAATCATTTGCAAGTACAAGTGCCAAACTCGAGGTAATGTTTTAATGCATGTATTGTCAATTTGTGCCTCTTTCCTTAACAAACTTGTAAATAGTTTATGCTTCTAATCAAGTTGATTAAATACAACAATTCAATATAGAGTACTGGTACTGGTATGGGCATTTATAATGTGCCTCTTCCTTGCGGTTATAAAGCGCAGTTCCTTTCCCTGGTCATTGGGTCCACATGCTAAGTGTTGCTGCTGGTAATCAGTGCAGGAGCAGGCAACCCTACCAGGTACCCATTTATACTCTTGGGTGGAGAGACGCAATGCAAATAAAGTGTCTTGCTCAAGAACACAAGCGAAATGTGCAGCGAGGGATTGAAACCCCGTTCCCGCTGCGCCAGACCGCAGTAGAGTACTGTACTGTAAAATTGCAATATTCTTGAGGATTGTTACTATACATTGTGAAGAAGAGCAAAGACACTGATGACCATGAGATTTACATTAAGAAGACCGACAAACAACATGAAATTGCCCATGCATCAAACTTAAACTCAAAACAATCATTTGGAAACCCAAAGACTAAAATAACAACTACATTGCATACGTCTACCCTGCACCACTTCATGTGATGAAGAATTGTTTCCTTGTTTTCCTTACAGCAATCAATGGCACCAGTGCCAACAATTTCAGAAATAAGTGACATTGCTGTTGATAAAGTCACCGGACTTAAGAGTGTGTTCATAAAGGCATGTGGTCACAAAAAGGTAAACTTTTTCTCATTTTGTAGAAAAAATTGACTATTATTTTTTTCTTAGGACCTGTTTTTACTGCAATAAAACATAATTGTTAAATAAATCTGTATTTTGTTACACAGTATAAACATATCCATAAAACAAACTTGTTAAATGCTGTTACAAAACATGAATTTAAAAATACTTTTAACTGCAACACAAAATAGTATTTTCAAAATTGACCTCATGACCTATATTTGCATATTCACATTTTTCTGAACTTATATAATTTGTTTATATTATTTTTTGTCACTAAAGGATGTTGCTGAATCCCTATTGGAGAAGATATTCCCTAATATATTTGAGTCTGCACCCCAAGCCAACTCCTCATTGGATCAGACCGTTGTGAAGATAAGTCAGGATGTGATAGACGACTTCCCAGCCTCTGACCCACGCTGGGCTGACTCAGTACCTGGGGGTAAGTCATTTATCCACTTTGTAATATATTATGTTGGTCAAAAGCATGGTTTCCATGAAATTGCTACACTGTCGCTGTAGTGTTTACACTGTCCCTTATGCAATTGGGGAGGCTCTTTGTTTTGCCCAACCAATCAATATCAGCAAATGCTTTCATCGATAGCATGTAGCAATTTCATAAAAACTAGGCTTGACACAGTGGTAATGCTTCAAAAGGTCAAGGGTCAAAACTGTTTTTTTTTTCTGTGACTTCGAGCAAGGGACATCATCTGTAGGATTGCGATTATCCACAGGTTCACACAGCTGGGATTGGAATGATGTTTACTTCAGCAGTATTTATATCTTCTTTTTTAATACTCTTTTAAAATTTTTTTTGCAGACCCCTCATCTACAACAAGTTCTGTGATCATTCTCCACCAATTAGAAGACAAGCTCAAAGTTCATGATCAATTCATCTTTTTCCTCAAGTCCATGTCCATTTGGAATAAGGTAAAGTTAATTATCTTTTACTATGTGTTTGGAATAAAATCAAGGTGTGGTTAAATGTATTTAAAGCAGGGAATTGGGAAAAGCATTTCTAGTCATCATGAGTAGGTTGATTGGGATGGGCAGGGGAAAGGAAGCAGGGTGGGCAGGGGAAAGGAAGCAGGATGGGCAGGGGAAAGAAAGCAGGATGGGCAGGGGAACAGAAACAAGATAGGCAGGGGAACGGAAGCAGGATGGGAAGGGGTGAGGATAGCCAGTGAATTGCTGTAGTTTTGACAATGTAACTATAACACCAAACATCACAACTTGTCTCATTAATTAATCACCTTTTTTCTTTGTGTTAGCTACATTCTGTTATTGTGAGAAACAAACCAATGAGTACTTATATGGTGTTATGTGAACATGCTGAGAAAATAGTAGCTGCCATTGCTCTGAGGAACCTTCATACTTTGTAAGTAGCTCATTTAAATTTAAATTATTTTATTCATCAATCAATAAAATAGACAAAAAGACATAAATATAATATAAAATGTTGAAAAGAACAATTAAAAAAAAAAACCAAATACTCAAAAGAGCTTGTAAATCAAGTGTCTTAAATATAAAAAACAATATTATAATGTTTAAAATGCAAAAATATAGTGAAAAAAAACTCAAACAATAACTGTAATAAATTCAATAAGTAAATAAATGTCATACAAAAAACATACAAAAAAAAACATGCAGACTCACAACACACACAAAAGCGAAAATACCTGGAATCAGGTAAATATATTGGCCAATAAGTGAATAAATATAAATAAGCAAATAAGTAAATAGTTAATAGTTAAGATACTTATTTTCTACTCCCATAGTTCTGGCTTCAGTCCTCTAAAAAGTATCAGGATTTTCCTCACAACCAAAAATGACTCCATCCACTAAGGAATTGGATGCCATGCATATCATTTTATTATGTTATTTATGCACCATCTGATTATGTTAATATTAACTGTTTTGCTGAAGTTTATCATTTTATTTTATATAATTAACAGACATCCTAACTTGGTTGATGCAGCCATTGTACAAGTTATTCAAAGCCGTGGTTCTACAAGAGTTCCGTCAGGTCTCACTGTTCAGGACGTGTTTTACAGACAGGTTAGTCAGCCTTCTGAAACTAGTGTGTAATATACCATAATTATCAATGATAAGGTCAGTCTGAATGTATGTACAAAGAAGCCCATATTATCTTGATTATTAGCCCATGGGCTTCTTTTTGAGATGGGCTTCTTTTCGAGATTACTTTTGCAAACTGAAGAAGGGTGCTGATTTTCGAGTCTGGATTAAGCCCATTTGGCTTCTATTGGATGTTTGACAGTAGTTTAGTTTTATAAAAATCTGTTCAAATCATTATGGGGATATCCATTTTTCTCATTTTTTATTTTATTAAACAGCAATGCCCTGTTAATTTAAGAGTGTATTATCAATGTGGCATTATAGTTAAGTTGGTTGAGCAACCTGACAATATTCAGGGGGTCTTGGTTTCAAATCCTGATTTAGACAATACATATTTCAACAAACCTTTTATTAACAGCAATACACCTCATCCAAATTTCTGTGCACCACATATAGAATTAAGACTTGATTATATATTTGTTTATCTTCAGAAGAGGCCAGTAATTTTGTTCATATTTACAGGTATCAAGAATTAATGAAATATTAGAACATCTGTTCGACTACGAGAAAGCAATGCTGTCTGCAGAGTCGAGCCCACCTGGACAGCACATGCAGATCATTGTGGCTGTCAATGAAATCTTTGAGGTGAGAAATAGATTTTTGTGGTTGTTTTTTACTTATTTGTTTATAGGTTATTTTAATTATCTTTAGTTTTTTATCGTCTAAATTTACAGGGTATGTTGCAGAAGGCATGTCAGTTTCGTTCATCCAAGTCACTAGTCTACCAATCAGATGATAATATAGTCACTTTACAGCTCCAGTGCTTCCCGTGGACAGGTTAGTCAGTAATTTGTTATTTGTCTTTTCTCAGCCCTTCAGATGAAACACAAGAAGAGCAGTGATAGAATTGAACGACAGACCTAAGAATCTCTATTTTTTAGATTGCACATAGTAGCTACGGTGAGTCCAGCCACCTGGGCTGAATACCAAAGGATTTTGGAATGTTAATGACAGATTATGCCAAGTTTACTTTTGTAAAAATTAACTTGAAATAATACTATATATAGGAATTTATTTACTCTCTCCAACATGTTACTGTTCTGAATGCTAAGTACGATAACACTTCAGGTAGGACAAAAACATCATTTCTATAAAATTTTCTGATGCAAACCACCATCAAATAATGTTATAACAACAACTTATTTTAAAACAAATTAAAACATATTGATGTTTTCACAAGGGCATTTTACTTATTAATATACTTTACACATTTAATACACAAAGATAAACACAAAGAAAAATGTTTACAAGATAATGAAAATCTATAGATAAACGATCATAACATTTATTTATAAAGAGAAAAAAATGGGCTTTTACATCCCAGTGCACCATACAAAAAATACTTTTCATTTGCCTAATTAAAGATATATGAATGGGTCTTAGAGTTTGCTTTATACCAAATCCGACCAGGCTGTAGATAGTTTTTCACTGTTGATTGAGTGTGAAGTACTGTAGGTCATGTTGTGTTTCAGCTTTAGGTGCAAGAAGGCTACAACATTAAACAAATGTTGAATTTGCAAAAAACCATTCTCCATTTTTTTGTGAAGTCAACCAAAGCAATGTACTTGGTTGCTTAAAAATGAATATTGTATCCATGGTTACATTATAATTTTACCATTATTTTACATACTGCATGTTATTTTGAATCAACATGCATATGTAAAAGTGTACAAATTTGTCTACCTCCTTCCCCCTAGCATAATGTTTGTACACTTGTGATGTTGATAATGTTGAAGGAGTCCTTAATAAACAGATTTTTAAAAACGATTCTGGTTCCGTTATCTTTCAGCTTCGGAGGGGGCACGTGGTGTGAGAACATTGCTTAGTCAACAGGTAAGAAAATTAGTACTGAAGAGAAACTTAATGACTAAACCCAGGCACAAACTGCATTGTACAACGGTTGTATATACACTTCAGCCAACAATTCCGTTTTTTTTTAAACCAAAATTAAAGAGTGTGACCCGTCAAACGGCTGATTTTAGGGGCCCTCTTAAAAAATATAATGAAATAATGTGATGCTTTATAAACTATGTGTTTTAGTGAGGAAAAAATCCTGTGCTGCCAAAGGAATTGAACCCAATGCTGTGGCATTGAAAGGCAAGCACCTTAACTATCAAGCACTTAACCACCACCTACATCTCCACTCCAATGACTTTCCACACAGACCCTGTGGGCGCTTGTTGGTGCCATTCTGGGCCGTCATTATTAAAAACGTTTTGTTGCCCGCCTCGTTGTGTTCTTCATGTCATGTATAGTATTAATTTTAAACCTTGTATAAAAATTATAATAATATCTATAGGGTATAATTTGTTTATACATTGCTTAGCAACCCAAACAGCATAAAGCACTGTATTATCCATGTTGCAAGTGAAATGTTTGATTGGATTCTGATAATAGTGTCATTGATTCACAGCGAATAAACTCATCCTCTAGGTTTCAGTAAAATCATCTTCATTCTCAATTTGAAATCATCCTGATACAACAGGCATGGATTTATTAGACTTCGCACAGTTTGCCATGGCGAGGGTCAGAGCAAGAAATATATTTTTTTAATACAAAAAGAACATTATATTCGAATTTCAGTGCCATTTCCGACTAGCTAGAGGTGCCATAATAATAAATTAGGTGTTATAGACCCCTAATCTGTGAAAGTCCTTCCTTGGTCCCTCAATTTCGAATTCCTGAATCCACCACTAGTGGCCACTAAGGGCCGCTGGTTGGCCCCTGTTCCTTATTTTTTTTTTTTCAAAACTTCAAAAAAATTGGAAAAAAAGAAAATCAGATTAAGTCTGAGAGTGCCATTTCCAACCATCTAGAGGTGCCATAATCATAATTTTTTTTACCTCAGCCCCAACAATGGTGGGGCTGAGGTGGTATAGACTGTCAATCTGTGAAAGTCCATCCCTGGCCCCTCCCACCCATTTTCTGGATCCGCCACTGAAAACCGTTTAATACTGTTCATATCCCCTGCCCCTAATTTTTCCAAACTTTATAAAAAAAAAAATTGGGATAAAAGAAAATTATATTAAGTCTATTAAGAGAGTGAAATTTATGGCCATCTAGAGGGTCAATAATCATAAATTTTTCTTACCTCAGCCCCAACCATGGTAGGGTGCATACCCCCCCCCCCACCTTGCCATTTTGGTCCACTGTCTACAGAAAAGGCACCCACCCAAAAAAAAGCCTGCATACAGGCCTGTATATAGTAATATTAATTGACCACAGTAGTTAATGTGCACTTTGAGTAATACCATTGTCATAGTGCCACTGAACATTGCCTTCTGCCGTGGATACTGGTGCCATACAAATCCTTGTTGATTGATTGATTGATTGATTGATAATTTAAATTGGTTATAAGGTAATCTGCAATGTCATACCTACAGCAAACACACCACATGAGAATTAATTTGATTAAAAACAGCACATCTCAGAGTCATCTAGAGTGATAAACAAGCCTGAGGCCGAATTCGCTAAGATTTAAGTGGAAGCAGAAAGTCTTTTATTCCAAACTCCTCCGTATCAATTGATAATGCATGCACATGTTGTACCCTGTGTATTCACAATAGCCGACAATATGTATAGTTTATTGTTATTCATGTTGTATTCTATATTCATTCGTGTTTTCTAATTAAAGCGTCTTGCACTCTGTTTATTTATTCATGGAGCAATAAGCATCCCGATCTATTTAGTTATGACATAGATATGAAATTTTGAACAATTTATTTTTCCATTTTCGCAATATTTTGTATTATTAACATGATTTTAAAATACTTTAATCATTATTTTGTACTAATGATTCTGCGCTCAGTTACAGAATTTTTAACCTCGGTGCTTCTCTGTGGCCACTCTTTACTATTTAGTAGGGCCAGACCTTATATCTCTTTTGTGAATAGGCCAAATTAGAGTATAGGATACCCTGTAAATAAAGGTATCTTCAAAGATATCTTCCTATTACAGGAGAGGCCTTCATAAACATCCCCCCCAGTGACCAAGTCAGCCATGGGCAGGGGATTGGCCTGCTGTGAACCTTTTTTAATAACAATTATACCATGAAAGCATGTGTTTTAAACACATGATACTTTTTATCAACCCAAAGGCTAAATATATGCAAAATCAAGGGATTTTAAAGAATTGTTTTTACTGATTAGTATGATTATAATTATTATATTTAATGATAATTAATAGTAACACAAACTAATGTAATGTAATGTAATGCTAAGTCTACAAACTATGGTATGTAGTCACAAACATAGTATATTTTTTTTTTTCTGGTAGCATGCAATCACACTTAGCAAAGGACTTCCAGAAGTAAGCAACACACAACAGAAGCGTACTCTCTTTCAGCAGTTAGTGGACATAATTGAAATAATCTTGAATGGCTTCCTAGCTCAGCTGAATTCACTCAAAGATGATGTCGGTGAAGATGACAACCAGTACTCGCAGCTCTTACATAAGTATCAACAGGAACGCTATAACCTGATTATGCCACTCGGTAAGACTGCCCCCATTATAGTCGGTCACTGCTTTAGAAACGAATGGTATTAGTATATATTTTCATGCCAGACTATTTCAATAATCTGCTAATTTGGCAAGAATCCTTATTACATATTCCAGTAGTTCCCAACCATCGTGCGTACGCAGACCGCAGACTCCTCGGGACATGTCAAAAGTCTTCATGGACCCCCCCCCCCATGTTTAAGTATTACTCATTGTCGATGTTCAATGCCAGTTAAAACAATTTACAGCGAACGAATCTTATACCGATGTCAAAGGTATTTTATTATTGATAAGGCACCTACTGATTAATAGTAATATAATTAATATAATAATATAATTAATAATAATAAATAATAATTAATAATATTAATAATATGCGCTATGTCACACTTATATTTTTTTGTGTTATTTTCCCCTTAATATTGTTTTAAATTGTTCCCTAATTTCTCCATTGTCTAAGTTCCACTTAAGGTAGAGGTAGGTATTAGTAACATAATAATAATAATAATAATATTAATAATAATAATAGTAATAATATATTAATATAATTAATTTGTAATTCTTCCAAATAGTAATATGTTTATCAAAATAAAAAAAAAGAAAAATTAAGGAATTATGAAAAATTCTAGCTGACCCCAACATTTTTCGCGGACCCCAACATTTTTGGAGACCTCCTGTGGAACCCCAGTTATTTTTTGTAGACCTCAGGTTAGGAACAACTGATACAATAGCAAACTTTAAAGACTCTCCCTTTAAGCATGATTGTTATTGATGTTAGAATGTATTTGTATTATAGCAGCGTGTGTAATAATAAATTACCCAAGCTTTAAACTTGGAAAAAATGCCTACGTATTTTTGCAGTTGTATTTTTCTATTTTTGGTGAAAGTCCTCCTTTATATTTCAGTAATATTTATTCATGAATTATTTGGCTTGTTCATTTTATATCATCCTATTCATTTATATTGCAAAACTTTCAGTGAAATTTTTCTTGACTTAAATTTGAATATATGTATATATTTATAGTACATGTCTTCATGTTTATTTTTCGGACACTCCGCCATTGTGAATGTCACTGTAATTATAGTAAAGTACCAATAAAATTATTAGTTACTATAGCACCGTTACTTACCGTAACTATCATTTCATAATTTTTAGTTGATTTAGGGCAGAACGACAAAGTAGCGTATTTGGCGGAGAAATTCTGTGATTTTGGTATCCTTGTCCGTCTTTGTGAAGCCACAAATGATAATGCAAGACTACAGCGGTATATGAATCAGTTTGCAGACAGGGTGAGTTGATATTTATTTTAAAAAAAATTTAATTCATTGATGCTCCAAAAGGAATTTTTTAATTTTCCATACCCTGGTCAGTCATTCCTTTAGCTGTTTACAAAAACATTGGTAGTTTAATGTGCAAATATTTGGATGATTTGCTATTCTGTATGATTATGAATGCAGTGGTTGATCTGGGGGAGGGATGGAAGAGGGTGATGAAAATGTTAGTTTTCTTTTTTTCCAGCTTCACATTTCTATTTGGTAGTTATTTGGGGTTGCGGAGGGTAGCACATTTCTATGTGGTAGTTATTTGTGGGTGGGGAAGGAGGGTGAACATGTTTGTTTCCTTTTTCTCTACTTCACATTTCCATTTGCTAATTATTTAAATTTTGAGTAATTGAAAATCTATATTTTAATAAATATTTTTTAGGGGTTTTCAGAGTTTCTGTTCAAGTACTACATGGATGAAGGTGAGTATGTATGCGTATTATGTTGTTTGCTATACAGGGGAAGATTTAGGGGGCAGGTCCCCCTTTTGGAAAGTTGGGAAAAGAAAGAAAAAGAAATAATTGATCAGCCAAATGCCTTAGAAGTTACTTTCAACGGTATAGAAAACAAAAAATTTGCGAGGGAATTCTCCTTGTCCCCCTAGTGTATAGTTGTCTCGATCGTCTCCACTTCCCCCCCCCCCCCCCCCTTCGAACATCTCAGGATCCGCCCCTATTATAAGATATAATGAAATTGATAATTTGTCCCTCTGTATTTTTCTTCGACCCCTCTAAGCTTTCCTGTTATTAAAATAATGCATCTGCTTCAATGACATTTTTTCATGCTTGTTTCTGTTAACAGGTAAAAGGGGAAAACTCTTATCACATTCATTTGGCCGTCAACAAGAGCTGGCTAATTTTCTTGAATCGCACGACAACCTTAGTTGGTTACATCACATTCACACCAATGACTATACACAGGTAGGTACTGGACAGCTTAGCAGCTGAACTTAGTTGGTTCAGCTGGTGGTAGCCACAGT